TAAGATCTGTTCCATCTTCAAGCGAAATTTTTTTGGAATAACGCATTTCTGAAATTTACGTGTTTTAATAATTGAAATCAAAATTTCCATGGTAACAGCTAGGGCGAATTGTTTAAATTGGGTAAGCGTGTGTTGGGTGTTAATAATAAGTATCAGTATAGAGATACTTTCATAGATGTCAAGTCAGGGAAAGGTGGGGGTGTCTAAATTTAAAACGGAAGATGTATTAACCCTAGTCTAGTTTGCATGTCTATGGAGATTTATTTATTTATTTTATTTTATTTTTTTTATGAACAGGATTTTTTGCATAAAAAAAAACTGCCGTAACGTTTGTTTTTTTTGACGACTTCATAAAGGGTATATATATATATATATATATATATATATATATATATATATATATATATATATATATTCATTAATATATATATATATATTCATTAATATTAATATATATATATATATATATATATATATATATATATTTATTAATATATATATATATATGTGTGTGTGTGTGCGTGTATATCCTAATTTCTTATAATAATACAGTATGTATGTTTAGAGAGGGAGTGCACATGTACATGCGCGTAATGTTATATATATATATATAGAGACATGTTAACAAGAACAAAACTGCTCACGGTCAAACACTCGAATGCTACACAACATAGGAATTGTTTGTGTTTGTATGTGTGTCTATGTATGTATGTGTGTATGTATATGTGTACATATTTGTATACTAATTCCTTATAATAAAGCAGTATGTATATATGGAGAGGGAACATACGTATGCGTACGCATGTTGACAAATATAAAAATGGCACTAAATCTAAGAACAGACATGGATCAGTAAAAGATAAGAATACAGATATCTTCCTCACCCTTTCTCGGACCAGTCTTAATTGTTTTATTACCCTTCACGCAGAAATTTTCACTGCCAATTCAAGGAAGACATTTGGGTCACTAACACGCATAAAGAGAATATCTAATATCGAGAATACTTAACATCGAAAAACATAAGAAAAATGAACTCCTTTTAATAATATGTGGCCATATCCACACTTTGCCGGATGAAGGTCGCGAGACAGGAAACCCGTGTAGCAAAATCATGGAAAATAAAGCATAATATATTTTTTTAAAAAGTCCACATTACAACCCCCAAAATTTGGGGTTTCTTCCTTCTTTTTAATATACACACATTTCTCTCATTGGAACTACTATAACCTCTTCCCTTGATATATATATATATATATATATATATATATATATATATATATATATGTCAATGAATATATATATATATATATATATATATGTGTTTTTATGTATTATTTTATGTTTATATTAATATAATTTTCTTATATGATTATTTATTATTTATTATTATTAGTATTATGATTTTATTATTATAATTAGTATTATGATGTTGATGATTATATGATGTTGATGTCATTTAAATTGATGCCATTTTAACCCCTTCTTCTGTGAACTTTATTTGACACTAAATTTAATTTAACTTTCTTATCACTTTACCTTCCCTTACCCTTTATATTAAATCTTTTTACTGTTATCTCCCTTCATAATATAAGCAGCCTCCCCCCCCCAAAAAAAAATTACTTTTCTATTATTTTTTTTAATCTTTGTATATCTGTTTGGGATATCTTGATTCCAGTTCAGAAAATGGAGTCGGTCTGATGAGATGAATATATTTATATTCATCGACATAAATTTATTACTGACTATGGTGATTTTCTTTCCTAATTATTCTTATAATTGTCTATGTATAATACATTGAGGTCTTATATGAACAGGATATTTCTCTTTGGAATCATCCCTACCAATTACATTTTGGCATTATATATATATATATATATATATATATATATATATATATATATATATATATATATATATATATATACAGTTATATATATATATATATATATATATATATATATATATATTGTTTTAAGGTGTGCTCTATTTATAGGATAAAGTGCTCAATATCAGAGATAGAGCTTATGTAAATATAAAATGAACATTGAAGACAACACTTAGAGGTGACAGGCTGTTTAATGCTAGACGCAATCGTCAGGCGGCCTGACGATTGCGTCTAGCATAAATTATAAATATGAATGAAAACACAAGAGGAAAACTATACCTAGTTTTTAGCCGACGCGTTTCATCATCTGGCGGACATTATCAAAGCAAATGTAATTATTTTATTTTGTAACAAGTATATATTTGACAATTATTCATTTTTTTTTAAATTTAAGAAAACTCACACATATTCTTCAGGTTAACTGAAATGTTTAGGTGTTATATACGTGATATAGCATCTTCGAAAGTAAGTTTCCCTTCGAAGATGCTATTACCAGTGTTTTATTTTTACCAATGTTTTATTTTTACCAGTGTTTTTGCTAAATTATCATGTATTCTCTTAGTCGTTCTTTTCTGAGTAAAAGAGATCCGATGTCTGATGTTGGACGTAAAAGTAACATAAAGAATATCAAAATGAATCAGTTTATAATACACTTTAGCCATAATAAATTATTTTCTATTTTAATCAGAAACACATTCTTATGTCAGAAATTATAATCAGGCCCATGAGGATATGACGCTGATCAAATAAAGCATTGAGTTCTTTGTAAAACAAATATCACTCTTGTGTAGCTCTTGTAATCTTTTATATAACTTCCCAGATGTCTCACCAACTTATTACAATGTATTGTGTATATGATTGCATAAGGTGGAATGTTGATGGGATGGTGTTTTTTGTTTGTTTTCAGAATCATGCTACATCAGACATCATTGATTTCGATCTTTTATAATGAATGTAGCAACATTCGAAAGTACTCAGGCAAAAAACAACGACAACACAACATAAATAAAGTTTTAAAAGTTTACTGATTACAAACAATTTATTCTGAAATTTGAAAAACGTAATAAAACTTGGATAGACAGATAGATATTGTTAAAAACGTAAACATATATATATATATATATATATATATATATATATATATATATATATATAAAATAAAAAGAAAGAACAGTAAAATATGTCATCCAGGTGTTCTTTTTGATCCTTTTTTTCACTAAATAGCGCTCAATGTAAATTTACAGAGCATTAATATTATAAATTAACTGATTTCAAATATAGTTTCTTCGCTACACAGTAGTAACCATGTTTCAAAAACGGAAGCTAAAAGCTTCAAATTTAATTTTTTAATTAAATTAAAAACATTAGTTCCATTTCATCCTCAAGCGAATTTTGCACTCCAAAGGATGAAATGGAACTAATGTTTTTAATTCTCAACTGGGCCTTTTTTTGTTTCTAAGTTTAACCATGACACTGAGATTCTAGTTTCTTTTGATATTCTTAATCTGTTCACGAATGTCCCTCATGACGAGACTATTGACATTTGTGCTGACTATTTGTATCGTTACCCGTTAAAACCTACATCATGATAGTGTCTTTGTCGAGCTGATGGAGATGGCTACTAAATCTCTCTTTTTCAGCTTTGATAATAACATGTATCAACAACTTCATGACGTACAGGTGATTAATCTTTTAGGACCTCTCATGGTCAATATTTGTTGTAGGGTTGCATAAGAGGCAATTGTTAGGTAAGGTCCCTAAACCATACTGCTTTTTCCGTTATGTTAATGACACTTTTACATCTTTTTCATCACATACTGAAGCAAACAGGTTTTTTCAACATGTAAATATTATCCACCCCTCAATTACAATTTACGATGAAGGTGGAGTTTAATAATGTTACTTTTCCTCGTCAGAGATAACTCCTACTTCTTTCTTTACCAGCGTCTAAAGGAAGCCCACTTTTAATAGCGTGTATATCAGTTGGGACTCGTTTGCCCCTAAGTCTAGGGAAATGAACCTTGTCAAATCACTTACTCGTCCTGATGATATGTTCGGAGTGCAAACTTGATGCCGAACTTAGTGAAATAACCAATGTCTTTGTCGCCAACGGCTATCAGGAAGGTGTCATTAAAACAAACATTAGACTTGAAATTTCTAAGCTTAATGAAATTAAACATATAGTCATGAGATTACCTTGGATTGGCTCTTATAGTCAATCATGCGCTGATAATATCTCAACTATCAATCACTGCTTCAATTTCGAAGACATTTTTGCTACTAGGAGTCCTTTCCCATGTGTCAGTAAACCTGTCTTAACCTCCATTCAACAAAGTTTCTATTATTTATCATTTATTTATTTTAAGCATCATGCGTACCATGTAGGTACGACTATCCAACGGCTGCAGGTGTGGATTGTGCAGCACTTGATTGGCTTTATACGAAGATGTGCTCCATTAGCACACGAGCGCTAAGAGACGCATGAGTCTGCCATCGTGGAGAATTTATTGAGTTCTGTTACTTGTGTGTCCAATTATTCAGTGGAGTTCTTCATCAGTGCTGCACAAGTCTCGGTCGAAACACCATCTTCACTTCTTACTGGCGGTTGTTATCACGATGTCTCGTTCGACACTGTGTTGGCAGAGGTAGCTGAAGCTTAAACTGGAACTCTTCGGCCTGTCTTTGTCTTGTTCTGGAGAATTTTTAATTTTTTCTTCTCTTCTCCCATATCTTTTTTTTAGCTTTATCGCAAGTAGGATTGTTCCTTTATCATACCTCATAACCAGAAGCCACAGTGTGTAATTATCCCATATTTCTTGACAACACCAACGGTGACTGCAAATCTTACTTACAAATATTATAAGAGTTTGCTATTGATAACATGTCCCTACAAATCAGACGAGCAGTCTATTTCCACAGGATGGTGCATCGCCTCATTTTGCCCGTATTCTTCGCGTTTGTCTCAATCAAAGTTTCCCAAATCGTTGGAGAGGTCGCAGCCGACCGTTGACATCCTGTAACTTCTAGTTATAGTGTATGAATCGCGTGTTTCGCCAAAAACTTAGAGATTCCGAAGAACTCAAGGACAGAATAAAAGGTGTAATATTAAACTTCTCCCATGAAATGTGTATCTAGTCACTAAAGTGTACACTTGATCTCTGGTTTTTGTGCATCAATCGTGCTGGTGACAGGTGGAGACTGCTCAGTAAACTCTGAATAAATGATTCCTTTCCTACTAGTGTTAACATAATTTTGACTCACCCTGTACTAAAAATATACGAATCATTTTTTTATATTTCTAACCTTCTAAATTCTCCTCATTTCCTTCGAGATATTCGCTAGTATTCTCTCGTATAAATGTCAGTCTCTTCTACACAAGTTTTATAGTCAGAATAATTCCACATTATAGTGTCTATATCTCTTTTGGCATTTAAAAAAATTAATTCTATTGAAATCTTTGGTCACGAACTTGTTTAAATAATTTTATTAATTCTTAGACTTTTCTTTGATTTTCTTCATTCTATTAACACGAAACATTAATCGATGTACAGTCAAACAACGGAAGTTGCAGACGACAATCAGTCAGTCACAAAATATATCATTCTTTTCCGTGACTTTTCGTTGAAAAGATGATGCCGAATCTTTTTATTAATATACTATTTTTTTTTTGTTTGTTTTAGAAATACAAGGTGATGGTTGAGATAACCAGTTTCACTCTAAAGTAAACGTCAAAAATTGAAAATAATTGACACTTATCTGACGCTAACGGGATATGACAGTTTTTACTTTGTTAAAATTTGCAATCTCATTGTTTACGTTCATGCAGGATTAGACATCTTTCTAGTTTTTAAATTAAAGATATTCTCGCGAACGTCATAACAATTTTTTCTGAGAGTTTGGAAAAAGCTGAACATTTTTCATATTCTTTTATATTTACGTAGTTTTAAAAACCACTTTTTCACATAAGTACAAACATGTGTGTATGGATCTCCAGAGGTAGGTAGAAACAAAGAGGAGATAGATAGATAGATAGATAGATAGATAGATAGATAGATAGATAGATAGATAAGTATACAGACAGAGATATAGACTGACATACAATCAGACAGGCAGATAGATAGATAGATAGATAGATAGATAGATAGATAAGAACCGTTATCCCCTACACACGTATATCCAAGCTTATAGAACCCTGTCTTACCAAGCGGTCAGGTACTGACCAGGCTAGATGTTTATTAACTTCGATGATAATACAAGAACTGGTGTGTGTTTCAACGTATGTCCGTAAGCCTATATATATATATATATATATATATAGATAGATAGATAGATAGATAGATAGATAGATAGAGAGAGAGCAGCTTACATTTTATAAAATAAAGAAACAATTGATAAATTTAGGCGAAGAATTAAAGATCAATGTTAATGTAATCAATAGCGAAATCACTTCACTAACAGGGCTTCATGAGACATTAACCTACTATAAATTCCTTGAATAATAAGATCGTTATATTTGGCTTGTTGCCAAATGGAATACACATGGCATATTATCATCTTCAGGGTGCAATCTTTTCCCATACATAGGCAAAAACTTAGACGAAATACCTGTTTTCTATATATATATATATATATATATATATATATATATGCTAGATAGATAGATACATGTCTATATTTGCCTAAATTTACAGTTAAATTTACCCCTTATAGTTATCTAGACATTATATACCAAATATCTCTCTCAGCACTTATTTGTCCATTGAGTTAAAACATCTTAAAAGTCAAGTTTTGAACAAGTGAAGACTATGAATAATATCCATTATGCATTGTTTATGTATTTATTGTTATGTTTATGTATTGTTATGTTTATTAAAAATATTTTAATAATATAAATAAATAAATAATTAAAATAAATAAATAATAAATAAATAAATAATAAATAAATAATAAAAATAAATAAATAAATAAATAATAAATAAATAAAAATAAATAAGTAAATAAAAATAAATAAATAATAAATAAATAAACTAATAATAAAATAATATGTTTATTAAAAATAAAAGTAAAAAAAAATACAATTACTGCCGATGATGACAATTAGTTGTTTTTTGCTCAGTCATAAACATTCCGTTTATTATTTAATAAAATTTTAGTTTGTAATCCGATAAAGATAAAAGGGAATATCATGAAAATATCCGAAATTTATTTTAGAATAAAATTAATATATTTCATTTTTATAAGCAATATATTTTTGACAACTAAAATTAAATTTAGATTTTCAGGTTTAGGAAATTATTCGGAGCCCAACGGGATTTCTTTTGATTCCTTTTTCGGAAAATTAATGAAAGATTTATGAATTTTTCAACGCAGAAATATTTTAATGAATCTTCCAAGCAGGTGAATTCTTACCTCAGAATTTTTACTTTCTTACAACGTAAAATGTCAAGAAAACAAATTTACCTTTCAAAAGTCATGACAGATGTACTGACTTTTCAGCATCTAAAAAAAGTACAATTTCAAGGGTTTACTATATTTTGTTGCAAGTGCTTTAAAACAACGTTTGCGCTCATCACTTCGAATGAAAAAAAAAATGAACACAGAAAATATGAAAACATGAATTTATGTACGTACAGATAGACATAAGTAACATTATTATATACGGATTTATTATTTGCTTAAACTGAAGAATTTTACCTCGGTAAAATGACATATCAGAAGTCATGGTGAGGCACTATGTTAAGTTAATGGTTGTTGGCACCAACGTAGATTGACATCAAGGAAAATCCAAGGTGTATCATTAGTTTTATGAAATCTGGTTTGTCTGTGTGAACAGCGGTTTGGCTACTCATGGCAAAGCGACACGAATTATTGGTGTACATTATGTATAGCGTTAAATGTTTATTATATCAAATTAGAAATCTGGTATGTTTGTTCATGTTTCTTTTAATTATATATATATATATATATATATATATATATATATATATATATATATATCAATAATAGATTAAATAAAATAATATCAATAAAAATGCTGCTATTTTGTTTTAAACAGTTACGTTTTAATAAGCAAATGAAAATCAAATCGGGTCCCACATGATCGCCATCTTCTGCATCTATGAGGAAATTGTATTCGAGACTCAAATATTTTAAACGTAGAAGATAACGAGCTTTTCAAAATATACTGTTGAATAGTTTAAGTTGATATTTTAATAATGATGTGAATTTTAAGGAGACGGTCTTTAATTCAGTCCAAATGTTGAAACATTCCGAGCCCTTTCGACTATAAATTTAACTATTATAAAGGATAATTTTATTTTTATTTTTAACTAAATGCAGGGTTGCGTGCATGTATCCAGATTTATAGATAACTATGATTATATATTAAATTAAAAGTTCAGATGACCCTTAAGGAAATGTGTTCCAGATTAAACCAAACTCATAAATAACTACATCCGTTATATGTCTATCTAGACGACTTACGTTGCGTTTATCCGACCAAAGCTCCATTAGAACACATTCGAATACACAACCAAACCTACCAGACTTCATCGGTAATATTGTAGTAGAAAACACAAGTATAGTAGCCTGATCTACATGTAAAAATGATTAAAAATATTGAAAGCCCTAATAATAAAAAAGAAAAAGCCAACACTCATTAACTAAGAACACGGCAACAATCTGCTAGCCGTGTTCGGAAAATAAAACATTCCTATAACTTTAGTCACATACATAACAAATCCACATATTTAGTTAGAAATAAAAAGGGAAAAATCGCTCTGGATAATGGCTAGAAGAATAGCCGAAAAGCTCGGTTATAGAGAAGCTTTGAACAGTTTTTACGCACTTTTTCTTTAGAAAAGAAAACACTTGTACGAACAGAAGATAAATTAAATAAAAAAGCTCAATCGCAGTAACTAGGCAATTGTCTTTAACGAAACATGTATAAAAGAGGGACTGCTGTCTATATACACAATATTTGATTTCAGTGAGTGAAGACTTTGGGGTTTGGAAATGAGCACCCTTCTTGGAATCTTATGGACTAGAGTTACTCTATCGCAAAATTGTACCAAAATATCACTTGTGGACTTTCAACAGCGCAACAACAAAAATGAATATCATATTTAACTAAGACATTCCACACTACTTATGAAACCCCCATTAATAATGAAAAGAAGGATAACAGTCAAAAATGTTTTAAGTGTAAAATTTTATAGATTTCTCCAACAGTAGTCCCGAGTTCTCGGTCAATGTATTCCAAATATTCCCTTTTAACGAAACGGCTATTATAACAATTACTAATTACTGTATGTCTCTATTTCTGAGATGAGGTATTGGAACTATTTATAAAAGTTACATTATTCAGACTGTTGTTCTCATTTTACAGCCATATTCTCGACCTTTCGGCCGCTGTACGCTCCGGCCTTCTGATATACGTTGGTTCAGTGGAGAAAAGCGTTGGTTAAAGTAATCCAAAAATGACATGAACCAAAGAGTTGTCAGTTCAGTATCTGGCCACAGCAGAGGTGAAAACAAACTTGGAGAGTTGAGTTACTAAAGGGAATTAACTGAAACTGAGATATCCAGAAAAGACATGGCACGTGGAACTAGAATAATCGGTTCGAAATTCCGACCTATATCACCTGAAAAAGGCCGGAGCATAGAACGGCCGAAACATCATGAATGTGACAATAAAGATGAGGGCACCAGTCTGAACAACGTAAATAGTGTAAACTAAACAATTTACAATTGTCAGAAAAGAAAAAGACAATTTTGTTTCATAGTCGAAATTCTTCAAATTTTTGTACTTTTTTTAATACTTGAAAATTAGGCCTGTTGACCATTGCCAAAAAACTATCTCTCTAAAACAATAAATTACATTTTTGTAGTTAATAATTCTTTCAATCTTTTTATTATTAATACTTGTTTACTTTTAATCTAAATATTTTATAACTGTTTCTTTTTCGAAGAGAAAAAACAAAGAATTACATTTTCGAATTAACCCTTTTAGAACAAATGAAAATCGATGTAAAAACAGAAAGCGGAATAATAAATAAAATCATCCAATATTTTAAACTACTTAATCAAAATTTAAAAAAAAATCAATTATATTCAAATCTACAAAAGTAGCCTGAAGTAACCTCGGTGCTAAAAATCTTATTGATGTGCAAGATTATTACTTGATACAATCAAGGTAAATAATTTGCATTGCCTTTGGAAGTGTTTTCTTTTCTTTTCATTTATTTAGAAATCGGTATTTAAGCAAAGGCATCAGACCTTGCTTCTAGAAATGTATAACATTAACCACCATGTTGGAGATAAAAGAGCAACAAGTTTGCGAAGACATGTTTAACTTATATTATCTGTTGAGGTGCCGTTAGAAAAAATACGAAAGAAATTTGCTATGGGATAGGGGGACTGGCTATTAACAATGATTCATAAATCGTTCTCATATAGAAGCGCAATTATTAATTAGTTCAAACAAGAAATGAATCCTAGGTATGACGATAAAGCTCATCCGGCAGCAAGGCCTCTGATCGGGGTATTGGAAGTTTTGAAGAAAATCTGAACTGCGGGTGTTCCTAGGTCTGAACCTTTATGGTCTCAGTCAAATAGTGACTTCTCCACAACGAAAATCAATAGTAAAATTTTATAATAAAATGACCAACAATACATTTTTATAGAAAATGACAATCTATGCAACACTAAAAAATATAAATGTACATTTTTATAGTAAATTTACCAACAATATATTTTATGATCTACGAAATATATATCTAAAAACATACCTTTGCTCTGAATGTATAAATGATGTACAAAATATCTGTAGTAAAAATGCATAAAATTACTTAAAAATATTGATTTTGGCATTAAATAACCCATAGAGGTATTGATATGCCATTAAACAAAATCAACCAATCAAACAACCAATATGAAAGAACTCTTTCGTGACATTACTTCCTTGTTAATATCCTACAATTTCTTAAAGAAATCAAACTGTACCCAAAATATAACTTCGAAAAGCTACAAGAAACGCACATATCACTGCCTCTAGTAATTACGTTCACTCAAACATGTATATGCACAAAAGCTGAGTATCATCTACCATGTATTCAATTGTGAAAGCAGAATAACATATATCATATTTTATTACTTCAAAGGTCCCAAGTAATTAAACTTCCGCATTAAATGACCCATGAGGAGTTGATATGCTGTTAAAGAAACAAATCAAAAATCATACTGCGTTGTACGAGCAAAAATTCTCTTTTCAGCTCCACCATCAGAAGCAGTTGTTTCTTTGCTTGAGAGTTTGGTCATACCATAAAAAACGCCAAAGTTGGGCAAATTAATCTGAAGAATTTAAACAGGTTTAAAACTTTTCGAAATCTTTTATTTCTTATTTGAGCTGATATTATATTATTGTTGTTAAGGTTTATTATATTTTCAAATTGTGCTAAGAAATGTAACATTATAATACGTACTTTTATATATTGCCTTGGTTCCTTTACTAGACAGAAATAAGGTCTTCCAGCTCTTGACTCAGGGCAACACTAACTCCTTAAGACACTTGATGTAGGCCCCCGTGTTGAATCTGAGGACCTCACCAATAAATTCAAGAGTTCTTTTCTTACCATCACGATCAGAGGGATGTTTCTGAGCAGCCGTATCTTCTTAATCATCGTTACACTCATCCGACTTTTTCCGAATCCCCTGAATTATCATCAGATTGACAACCAAACCCTCTAAAATGTTCGTATGAGAGCTTCCGGTGTGAATGCCAAGCAATACAACATGCCATTTTCAAATTTCTGGCGGAGTGAATGGCTTCATGGTATTTTTTTCTCGCAGTCGATGCCTAACCGACCCGACTATACTGTGCAGTCAACAAAAAAAAAAAATAAAAAAATAAAATCAACAAACAAACAAAGGACATACGTGAAATTAGAAATCTAAAATAGCGGTAATTTAACCTTCGCACCCTCTATAGCCATCACCAATTAGACATGAATAAGGAATGTTTTCTGTCTATATTTCTGAGATGAGGTATTGTGTGCATTATTTAGATTATTCGGACTATTGTTCTCATCCGACCTTCTTCAGGTGGTTGGAATGTTGAACTGAACCCTTTATTTCGATCACTGGGGTAAAGCGTTCTAGTTCCACGTGCCATGTTTAATGAATGTCAGTTATCAGGACACATAGCACAGTGGATAAAGGCGTTCGTTAGGTCCAGTGACAGGACCCAAAGAGTGTGAGTTCAATACGTGGTTAAGGCAGCGGAGAACTTTCAGAGGGAAATTAACAGGAGATTCAATAGCCGGTTAATCTCATGTTAATTTCCCTCTGAAAGTTCTCTACTGCCTTAACCGGGTATTGAACTCACACTCTTTGGGTCCTGTCACGGGATCTAACTAACGCCTTTATCCACTGTGCCATGTGTCCTTGAGATGAGGACAATAGTCCGAATAATGTAAATAGTGTACATAGTACCTCATCTCAGAAATATACACAGATACTGAATGCAGAAACGTTGTAATAAATATGGCGACAAAGATTAGGACAATAGTCTGAATAATGTAAATAATTTACATAATACCTCATTTCAGAAATATAA